GGTTTTAGGGTTTAGGGTGTAGGGCGAGCGCGAGGGGGTTCGCACAACAGAGTCGCAAGAGAGGCAGCAACAGCATCGTTGAAAACTTTATGTGAAGTGCACGCACTGGAAGCTCACAACGGATCAAAGGGAAAGACCGGGAGGAGATGGATCTGAAGCTTGGGCAAAGGTTAGGTAAGGTCCTCTCTTTGAGAGACAGGAAAGGAAAGGCAACCACGTCTTGCCAGACTATAGCTATCTCACAATCCCCGCTTGCTCTGATGCGGACCGCTGGTTTTCAGGCCTGACGCCAAGCGGCCTCGCTGCACAAGTGCCTGCAGAGTAACCACATCGCGACTCACGGCTGCAGACAAAGCCGCTCTCAATTCTTTTGGCGCCTCGCCAGGGTCGAGCTCGTGCTGCCCAGCGCGCCAAGGCTGGGTGCCTCCAGGGCCTCGAGTTTTCGGAAAGCACCCCCACGCAGAGACGGCAGTGTGCGGTCGCAGCCAGGCTGCATCGCAGACGTGCAGGAACAGCTCGTCGCCTTAGAGCCACAAACCATCAAAGCATGTCTGAGAAGAATGGTGATGATGTCAACATGCTGCCAAAGTTGCCCAGGTGACACAGCCAATTCCGGCGGTGGGGGGACTCAGTCCGTGCGCGACGTTGGCAGCCCACCCGCGCAAGGCTCGTGGAGGCTCCCATGGCGACAGGGGCACAACATGGCAGAACGTGTTAGAGTGTCCGTGGCTGGTCTTCACGACGGTGCCGGCGTACTGCTCTGGTGTTCCGAGACAGAAACACTGTCAGACTTTGAAGAAGGACATCAACAACGATGCTGCCATTGCATGGCTGACCTCGCTGAAGCTGACACTATGGCTGACCCCGCTAAAGCTGATGCTGGTGATGACTGCTGCTCACCAACAACAGCAGCAGCGACTGTCCGACTGACTGTCCAATGCTGCTGCTTGTTCTGCTGCTGTTGGCAGCAGCAGCAGCAGCAGCAGCAGCAGCAGCAGCAGCAGCAGTAGCAGGAGCAGGAGGAGTAGTAGCAGCAGCAGCAGTAGCAGTAGTAGTAGGAGGAGGAGTGGCAGCAGCACAAGCAAGGGCAGCAATAGTAGAAGTAGGTGCTAAAGGAGGAGCAGCTAAGAAGGTAAGTATCTGAAAATCATAGCCCGAAGGGGTCACAGGAGCAATCTGGCGCCTGCTGCTACTACTCCTCCTGCTCCTGCTGCTGCTGCTGCTTCTGCTGCTCCTACTCCTACTCCTACTCCTACTCCTACCAGCACCAGCACTACTACTACTCCTGCTGCTATTGCTACTACTACAGCCACCACCGCTACTACTGAAACCACCAAGACTAGGACGAGGAGTGGGACTGGGACTGGGGACGACTACTGCTACTCCTCCTGCTCTCTCCTCTGCTTCTACTACGACTACCACTGCTCACTGCTACTACTCCCACTCCTCCTACTCCTGCTCCAACTCCCACCTACCCCCACTCCCACTCCTCCTCCCACGCCAACTCCTACTTCTACTCCTACTCCTGCTACTACGATGACAACGACGACCACCACCACCTTGACCGCCACGTCCGCGGCCTCTGCCCCTACTGCCTACAACCTACAACTACCACTACCACTGTTGGTGGCAGTTTCAACGTGGTGGACAAACGAGCGATCATGATACCGCGAGCCTCGGGAGCCTGTGCTTCAGATGCCACCGTCGACGCCTCCTTCGGAGCTTGGGCTTCTGTCGAGGGCGCTGCCTCTCCTGCAGGTGTGGCAACTCCAGACAACGCAACAAGGAGAAAAATCTAAACCAAGAAGAACAGTTAACAACCACCATCCCCGCTAGGCCCACTCTCTCCAGGTTCCATGTCACTGAGCTCCTGTCGCTTGGAGTGGCTGGCGTGGCGGCACCAGCTGGCCCTTGTTCCTAGCAAGTGAGACAATACCGTGGGGTGTGGCCAAACCAAGAAATCCCCAGCCCTTCTGGGCGCACCGAGGACGAATCACGACCGGCGGCGCAGGTGGTCGCATCTGAGCAGTAGGGCAGAGACTGTCACTAGAACGGCTCCTGTCTCTCACCTTGCACCGACAGCTTTCTTCGCGGTATGCATCGAAGGTTCTGTAGACACTGAAGTCTCACAGTCCAGTGCACGGCATTCTGGCTGATGTCAAAACATGCATGGGCAGATCGTTAACATGCCGTCAAAAGGGTGCACAATGGCATGACCGGAGTTGCACGTCCAAGCAAGCATTAGCGTTCCGTGAACGCGCAGCAACGTCAAGGAACCTCGTCGTAGGCATACGGCAGTTTGAAAGATGTTGCAATCTCCGTGAAATGGCCGATAGATGGCATCGATGGCTCCTCGAGACGAGCAGCACTCCTGTGCAAAGATGCGCCAATGCCAACCTTGTCCTATTTATCGGAAGCGGACTGGCCGAATGGCTCAAACCATGCAAGCTCTTCTGTGCGATTAAATGCCGTGTAACCTAGCTGCGTGGCTGCCAGTGATTGTCAGCGGTAGCCATACTAAAGAATGGCACATTCGCCATAATTAAATCAGAACTTCATTTAGCCTCCTGTCGTCACCATATTCGTCGTCCTCATCCTCGTCCTCGTCGTCCACTTCGCCAAAAGTCGAGCCAATGGTACCAACCTTGACTTTGCTGTACTGCACCCGTGCCCGAGGATACCTTAGCTGAGACATGAAATGAATGACACGACTGCCTGCACGCCGAACCGAGTGAC